AACCCCTGAATTTCTTAATAAATTCCTAGAAAAATTTATTAATAGATCTAAAGACAAAAATCTTGAAAATTGGTTAAAGGAAAATGAAATTGAAAAAGGTTAAAATAAATTATTAGGTTATACATTAAATGATAAACTAAAAAAAAGAATAAGAGTTGCTAAGATTAAAAATAAAAAATTTACTGGAAACATCATCTATGATTTTGAAATATCAGATGCTGATGTAGAAAAAATAGAAGATGAATTTGATAAATCATTATCTGGAGCATATAAATTACCTTTTGTTTTTGACTTAATAAATTTTGATTCAGAAAAATTAAAAAATATTGATGGTAGTTATAATTTAGATAATTTTGCTAAAATAACAGAAGTTAGTAAAATATCAAAAATAGGTACTATCATAAAAAAAAAAAATAGTAGATGTTAATAGACCAGGTATTTTACCTATTTTAACTGGTAGTAGAAAAACAACTAAATTAGTAAGATGTTTGTTAATATGCATCTTCCCTGGAAGACACATTATCTTGATTACGCCTAATGAAGAATTAGCTGCGGATACTAAAAATCATCACAATGGTTAGTTACAATATACTGATAATGTTTTATATAAATGTGTCTTACATAGAAAAGAAAGTGAATTGCCTTACACAGTGAAAAATAGAACTCTTGCTTCATAGATAAATAATAATAATAAAAGAACAGTAGTTGAAGATAAAGATGATTTTTTTCAAATGACTGATGATATAAGAGAAACTAGTGGTGAAATTAGTAAATCAACATTATCGATATTACAATTACACCATCTAGTCAGATACATAGCATGTAGAAAGGTTGATATAGATAAATTACATAATCTTCATAAAATTTATAATAATTTTAAAAAATCAAAATTTCAAATAAAAGAAAAATTAATAGATAAAGAAAATACTATAATCATATTTGATGAAGCTTATTTTCCAAACATAAGTTATCAAGTAATCTAACCATTGATAATTAACAAGGATTACAAAGTTTTAGTCATAAGTACTACTTTTCCAAATAAAGAATTCTCTATATCAACTTCAAAACACAGAGAAGTTTGTTCGATAATCAAATTTGGTAATCAAACAAATTGGAAAAATGAAAAGACACAAATTTTTTTTAGAACAACTAATAATGAATATCATAGAAAATCAACTGATGAAGAAGATCTCAAAAAACCATTATTAAAATCTAGATTGGAACTAGATAGATTAAAAATGCTAGAAGATAGTAATATTCCATATGTAATATTTGATAGTATGAATTCTTCCGCAGTAACTGGTATAACAGAAGAAATACCACCTAGATCTCTTTTCATAGCAAATAAAAACCATGAAATGGCTTTAGTCCTGATATTAATAATGTAATATTAACTAGTGAAACACAATTAGTTAGATTAGGCAAAGGAAAGGATGCAGAAAGATGGATATATGATACTCCAGATGTTCAACCTTTACCAGTAGCTAGCATGATTCAACAAATAGGTCATGTTGGTCGTCTCAAACCTGGAAAAGCTTTCTTAACAACTCAAAGATTACAAGAAATAATACCAGATAATAATGTTATATTTCATCTTATCAATGCAATGATGCTTAAAGAATCTTTAAATCCAATGAAACTATTGAATAAAGCAGGATATAACTACATTAGAAGACCTGGAGATTATAAATATCAAAATTTTTTATGGGCTGCTATTGCTCTTCCATATAAAAAAGATTGTCCTGTAGAAGCTGTTGTAGTAGGCTTAGATAGAAACCCTAAACTAAGTTCTACTACTCTATTAAAGATTTGTCCAATATACAATGTTCTACTAAATTCTAATGTCAAAGATAAAAATCTATGAGATATACACATATATGGTAGAATAGAACACCAAAAATAGACTTGGAAAATAACAAAAATATACAATTTTTAATAATCAAGACAAAATTAAAAGCTCTAAATATAAATACAAATGATATTTGCATAGAATCTAAAAATTCATTAATAGAAAAAGTATGGGATCTCCTTTCTAAAAAAAATGATATCATACCAGATAATAAAAAAAATATACTAATCAAAGAAATAAAGGGAATCGTAAAAAATTTTATATGTAAAAAGGTAAAAATCAAAAAAACAAAATATAAACCTAGTGAAGTAGAAAATTTTAAAAATTCTGCAAAATAGTTAAAATTCTTTGATGAGATGATAATAGATATTCTCAAAAAAACAGTTGATGGAGAATTACAAAAGGATTATTCGATAATTATCACAAATATATAGAAAACATTACTAAAAAATCTTTTCAAACAAAAAAAAATACTTATATTAAGAACTATATAGACAAAGATAGATTTCTGAGAATGTTTAAATATGATAAATATAAAAGAATGATGTAACAAGTTTTTGATATGATAATCGATAATAATTTTCAAAATCTAAATTTTGTGAAATCTGTATATGTAAACTTCAAGATTCAAATATAATTACTCATGTAAATAATATCGGATTCTGTAAAAATATTATTAAAATATTAAAATGAAAATAATTATATTTTTATTATTATTTTTATCATTTACACAACACACTAATTTGACAAAATATTTTTATTATTCTAAAATATTAATGATCAAACCACTTCTTTCTAATAATAAAAACATCAAAACAAATAAAATCAAAGAATTGAATATAATATTTAACTCTTTATCTAACAATATAAAAAAAATAAAACATGAAAACAATTTAAATATTATTAAAAATACAAATAAACTAACAAACAATATAAAATATATGAATAATGTAAAAAAAGAAATTAATAATAAAACTTGTTCTGTTTCAATATCAGAAAGAATAAACAATATTAAAAAAAAATATAAGATAAAAAATATTAATTAATCATTTATTCAATTATAATAACAGAAAATATCGTATTAAAAATTTCAATAAAACTCATTTTTTCATTATTATTAAAATAAAATACCTATTTAAACATGATTTTACATACTTGCGTATCACAATCAAGTTTTGATATTTCACTACTCAATTGTATAAACATATACAACTCTAATGATGATATTAAACTGATTTATCATAAAAACATATTTAATTCAAATAATAATAAATTTGATATATATAATTTTGGTATAATCATATAGAAAATACTAAATAAAAAACCAAATAAAAAATACAATAAAAACAAATATATTAATAAAATATATAATTTTATATTTAATTCAAAACACATAACAAATTTACTACTACATGATGTACAACAATATGATATAACATCTATAGAAAATATATCTTTATTTGAATCATTAAAATCTCAGATTATTAATGAAATGGATAAAAATAAACTTTTAGATTCTGGTTATTATGATGAAATATTAAAACTCAATCAAAAAAAACTAGGATCGAAATATTTCAATATTCAAGATATTCATAAAAATCACTTAAAACATCTAGATATTTATAATATTATAATCAATAATATCAATAATGAATGTGTAATAGAACTTTTCTTATTAGAAAATTATATCACTAATCAAATTAATGTCGATAATTTTCCTGATAATTTACTAGCAAAACTCGAAAATAAAAAAAATAAAAAAATAATAAACTTAAACAAAATTTTTAACAATGTAAAAATCTTAATCGAAAAAGAAAAAATATCTAATAATTTAAAACCTCATAATGAAATTTACAATATTATCAAAAATGAAAAATGTTTTAGTAATGAATCTAAAAAAAATTATATAATATGAGAAATATCAGATATCATTACATTTTAGAATATGAAAAATTATTAAAAGAAATAGAAAAAATATCTAATGAATATGAATTTAATAGTTTTGATAGTAGAAAAAAAATAAACAATATCTACCTAATGATTTGAAAAATGAATTATTAAATTCATTAAATGATAAAAAAAAATTTATAACAATATACAAAGAATTAATAGATATCAAAAAATAGGATAATAATTTGTTAGATAAATTAAAAAATTATTACAAAACATTAATTAGTAATTTTTTACTCAAAAATGAAAGAAATATATTAGAAAAAATGAGAAATGATAAAATTAATTGAACTTTAAAATTTTTAGAATATGAGAAAAAAATAAATGATGAAAAAATAATCGAAGATTTATTAAAATCTGATCGAAATACAATAAGCCATAATATCAATAATGATATGACATTAAATAAAATACAAAAAAATATCTTAATCAATACTATCATACCTAACAAAATAAAAAAACATATGAACGAATTATATGATAAACTATTAATCCTTATCAAAGAAAGAAATTTTTTTACTACACAAAAAACAAATATATATTCAATATTGCATGCATTAGATCAAAATTATCTACGAGAAAATCATAATTTAAATGATATATTTAAAATATTCATGGATAAAGAACTAGAAAATGCAAAAAATAATTATCTTTTAAAATCTAATACCTTTGATACAGAAAATAATAAAAAATTGGAAAGAGAAAAAAATTGGAAAAAATTAATTAATATGAATAGATTCATCATTTCCAATTATGAAAATTACAAAAAATACCTCAACTATAAATTAAATAATAATATATCATTAGATTATAATAATGAATTCAGCAATAGTAAAACAGTTGTTAATAGCAAGAAAAAAATAGAATCAAAATATGTTAAATATAATAAAAATTTTTACGAATATTTACTCAAAAAAAATGAAAAATGATGATAATATTATAAATTTTCAAAACAATAATCTTTATGATAAAGAAATAAAATTGTTAAAGGATAAATTTCTATTAAAAGAGGAATATAAAATCTCCAATTTACAAAATTTAAGAAATAAAATCTTATCTGACCATGGATCATGAATACAATTCTGAATCTGAAGAAGAAATCGATTCATCAGAATTCTTAGAATCTGATCGTATAAAAGGAATAGAATTATAGTTAGAATTTACTGAAAATTACAAAGAATCTGGTATATTCAATCACTTACATAATGACTATTCTGCATTGATCAAAGAAATAAAATATTTCAAAAAAAAGCACTAAGGAATTAATCTAAATTTAAACAGTTAGTATTACAAAATAATTTATTAAATGAAATATTAGAAGAGGCAGAATATTTTTACGAATTGATCTTAAGCAATTTAAAAATAGATGATGAACTTGAGAGTTTAATCTATTATTTAAAAACTATAGAAAAATATAGTAAAAAAACTAAATACATATCAGAAAAAAAAATAAATCTCAAATCCTCAAAACAAAAACATAAAAAATGAAAAGGAAAAGATTAAATGTAAAACAACAATTTGATAAATAGAAAAAACGTATTGAAACTGATATTGATGATGAAAATATAAAAAATAATCTACATGATTTCTTAGAATTTAACTGTAAAAATTTTTTCATTAAAAATACTAGAATAATAAATGATGAAGAAGAAATGTATAATTCTATGAAATTAATCTCTGATATTTATATACAAGAAAGTGAAAAAACTCGATTAAAAAGAAAAGAAGATAGATTAGAAAAGGAAAAAATGGATTTATTTTTTTGCTAACAAATATAAAAAATTTATTATTTTAATCAAGAATAAATTAATATAAATTATTTAAACAACTATCTTACTTTATTTTTTTTTTCTTTTAAAACATGAAATTTATGTGAAAAACCAATATTATGATAGTCAGACTCAATGTACAAAGCAAACTTTGGTATCCTCCGCAACTATGAAAACTGGGTATAAGGCGAGCACTTTTACAGAAGACATCTAACTATCCTCAGCCTCTAATACTTCAACATCTACTGAGGAAAACTTATGCTATAACAAATTTTTACAATATCACAATCTACTAAAACTTAACAGTTCACAAATACTTAAAACTTTCTACTTTCATCTCTAACAAAACAATTATCTCTATACACCAAAAATTTCAATTAACTCTATGAAAACTGAAACTCATGTCTATTTGAATCATAACAAATCACTTCTCCCAAACTATTTCTTGATATCTACTAACCAATTTCCCCAATATTATAACTTACCTATAAAATTTACTTCAGATAATATAATTAATACTAATAATAATACTAACAACTCTAATATAATCTTAATAGAATATACCTCTCTTCTTCTCAAAATTGGCTCAATAAATATTAATGGCCTCTTACAAGCTAACAAACAACTAGCAATAACTGAAACTCTCAACAACAATTTTTATGAAATCTTAGGAGTTTCAGAAACACACCTATCAACAAAAGAAGGAAACTTCCTCAACAAAAATATAAAGAATTACAAAAGCTATTGGAGCTCTTACACAAACTCTCACCAAGCAGGTGTAGGTATATTCATTCACTAAAAAATTGCTAAATATATTGCCCGTATATATAACTATAAAGGACATGTTATTGGCCTTGATCTTTATTTTAAAAACCAACTCATAAGACTCCTACAAATTTATATTCCAACACAAGAAAAAAAACAACTCCATAAAGAAATCCAGGAAAATATAATTTCCTTACTACAGGACCAAAACTATAAAATAATAATTATGGGTGACTTCGATGGGGTCTCTAATACACGTATTGACCAAAATTCACCTAAAAAAACATCAATACCAGGACTCCAACTCATAAAATATTTAATCAGTTACTAATACAAAGATAGTTTTCAAACTTTTTTCCCTAACACCAAAAACTATACATTCCAACACCAAAATATTCAAAGCTGAATTGATCAAATTTAGACTAATTTATCAATATCAAATATTGATTATGCAGATATACTTTCTGATAATATACTCGAATTTGATCACAATATCACAACTATTGAAATCTCAATAATTATCAACAAACC